TACTGTCTTTGACCTCAGTCACTAAACTCTTCAGGAAAATGAACACAAAAAAACCTTCTAAAAGCTCGATCCCCAATCGGCCCTGGCAGGGACTCTGACGTTACAGGAGTGTATAACTTTAAAGCCACCAAAAAAAAAAAAAATCACCAACAAAAGGGATGCAGCAATAAAATCATAATTAAGCTCCAGCTGAGGGTAACCACAGCGAAGGAGAGAGCAGATAATCATCTCTCCCAAATCCAGGAACATTGCCACAGGTTGTAACCTCAGGCCAACCTCATAAAAGTCTTTAAGACCAATTTCTTCCTCCCGTGGAATATCACATGGAGGCAGTTTTGGGATGGGTTAAATCCATATAGTAAACAAACACGTATAAAAAAGGAATTGGAGGAAAATAAAGTGATTGGTAGAGACCCGACACAGGGTATCTGTAGTGTTTTCCTACCATCTCCGAGGGCTTTTAGCACCTCCAGCAAATTTCCTGTACCTCGAGGGGAATTACAGTGCAATAAAATGTTAAAGCATCACAGCTTTGAGTGGCTACACAGTAAGTTCTTCACCAAACAGAAAAAGTTCAGGCACTTCCAAATGTGCACCACTGCACCACAGCTCAGCTGCAGCCCCTGGACTGGCCACATGCAGGATCCACAGCCCTCAGAATCCCAGAATCCCAGGCTGGTTTGGGTGGGAAGGGACTTTGAAGACTCCTCTGTGGACAGGGACACCTTCCACTAGCCCAGGTTGCTCCAAGCCCTGTCCAACCTGGCCCAGGACACTTCCAGGGATGGAGCAGCCACAGCTCCTCTGGGCAACCTCTCTGTTCCCCTTGTGGGATGGAGGGATTAACATCTCACAGCTAATCAGGGAGAGCAGCATCTGTTCCAGTCCTGGAATTGTGGCTCTTCCCTCTAGGCCAGGCAGCACATCTGAGAGCAGCAAGAGGCAGGTGTGCAGTGCAGGAGCACGGACCGAATTCCCTCCAACCTGCAATCTCCTGAGCCTCTTTTGTTTGTTGTGGGTTTTTTGTTTGTTTGTTTGTTTTTAATTTTTTTTTTTTTTTTTTTTTGGAGCACATTAATTTTAAGGTCTGATCTCTCAGTGTCACCAAGAAAACAACATCCAGCAGAGAGGGAAATTCTCTTTCAAGCCTCCAGCGATCCCACCCTACATGTGGGTGGCAGGATGGGTGTCCTGGATGTCAGGGGGGACACACACACTGGATTAGCCCAGGGAACCACGTTAATTCTGCCCAGAGCTGGCTTTCAAAGCTGGGAAACACCACACTCCAGGAGAGAAAAACTCAGGCCACGATCTCCCCACGGTGTTTCTTAAGACACGATCTTATTTTTTTTTTTTTCTTTATTAAAAATACATCCCAGCTCCAATCCCCCTCCCCCGGAGGCAGCTCCGCAGCCTCGCGGAGCGGGAAGGAAACACTTGGACGTACCCAGAGCACCCTCTGCCGTCAGCCCTACCCGGCAACCATCCCAGTTGTCAGGGGAACCTCAGGGAGCGGGATCGGCCGCGGCAGAGACTCACCCTGCCTGGCAATGAGGTCGGCGTCGATGACGGCGCAGCCCAGCTCCCGCAGCACGGCCACCACCGTGCTCTTCCCCGACGCGATTCCCCCCGAGAGTCCCACCAGGAACATGGTGCTCTGAAAGGGGAAAGAAAGGAGCTGCAAAACGCGCCAGGACGGGGCTGTTTGGTTTGTGCTGGGCACAGCAAACGTTTAGCCCCCAAAAAGGGGTGACTTCGTTGGGAGCTCGTTTTCTCTGGGGGTTACTGAGACACGGGCAGGATTTTGGCACCCTCTGGGCTGGGAATCCCTGTTTCACAGGATAGTGCAGGGTTGAATGAGGCTTCCCTGGAATCCCCTAACCCTGGATGTGCCACTTGAGCCAACCCTCGGTTTCTCCAGCTGGTTTATTTATCTGCAGCAACTCGTTCCCCTTTAGCATCTGCACCCACCAAACCAGTCTCACCTACAGCACCATGAACCATGGAATCATGGAATGGTTTGGATTGGAAGGGATCCTAAAGTCCATCCAGTCCCACCCCCTGCCATGGACAGGGACACCTTCCACCAGCCCAGGTTGCTCCAAGCCCCGTCCAGCCTGGCCTTGGACACTTCCAGGGATCCAGGGGCAGCCACAGCTTCTCTGGGAAATCCATTCCAGCCCCTCCCCACCCTCACAGGGATAATTCCTTCCCACTATCCCACCTAACCCTGCCCACTGGCAGTGGGAAGCCATTCCCCATGTCCTGTCCCTCCATCCCTTGTCCCCAGTCCCTCTCCAGCTCTTCTGGAGCCCCTTTAGGCCCTGCAAGGGGCTCTCAGGTCTTCCTGGATCCTTCTCTTCTCCAGGTGAAACCCCCCAGCTCTCCCAGCCTGGCTACAGACCTCCAGCCCTGGGAGCAGCTCTGGGGCCTCCTCTGGACTTGCTCAGAGGAATCAGATTAAATTTCTGGTAGGGTTGGTGAGGGTGACAGTGACAAAGAGGAATAATTCAGACAATATCTGAACATGGAGGAACAAGCCCTGCTCGATCCTGCAGCCGGGGATGGCAGATCAGCCACCTCTGACATAATGGGGACACGGAGCCCACAAGGCACACAGTGCATCCCATTCCCACACTGCCTGGCAGCCCAAGGGGCACGGAAACCACGGCTCTGAGCAGCAAAGTGGTGTTTGTGAGCTGGTAAACACAGCCCTGGACACGGATCCTGTGCCTGCCCACGGCCCTGAGGGGACCTGTGACCCCTCAGCTCCTCTCCCAGAGATCCCTGCTCAACCCACACCCTGCAATCCTCTAAATCCAAAGGCCTCTGTAATGCTGAGGGAGCTCTGGAGGGCTGAGGGGACTCCTGGGAGTATCTGCATCCCAAAAAGGCAAGAGCCACGGGAGGCTGGGAATGGATCCCGTGTCTCCCCCTCCAGCCCCAGCCCAGGGGGTCACCCTTGTCCAAGGTGACACCACCCTCACAGGCAAGGGGCTGAACCTCCCAAACCCCCCATCCTCTGCCTGTTGTTTTTGAGGAGAAACTGGCCCCGTGATCTTTGGCCAGGAGCCACAGGCTGCTGGTGCTCACCCCTCATCCCGAACTCCCACAGAGCCCTGTACCCCAAACTCAACAATCTCTGCCCAACCAGGTTCTGGCCTCTCCCCTCCTTCCAGACACCCCCAGCCCCCCAAAAAACTCATCACACACAGGAGCCAGGTACCTTCTGCCTGCACTGTGCCCCACGAACAGGGGGCTGCAGGAGGGCTGGGATGGGTCAAAACACAGCACTGTGTCCTCTGGGCTGGAAAACACACACACAAAGGAGACATTTTAGTCGTAATTTGCTCCCACAAACAGGACTCAGAGCCAGAGTTTAAGGGGCAGACAGGGGTGGGTGAGCCCTGTGGCAGCTGAAGGCAGCTCAGCAGAGGGAAGAGGCAGAGCTGGAGCAAAAGCCAGCAGCTGATGCCAGCCCACAGCAGCACCACGTGCTGCTTCCCCTTCCCAGACCAACAGATGGGGAGAACTCCGGCACCAACAAGGGGGAATAATCCAAAGGGAATCAGAAAGGGCGCTCCTGATAAACAGCAGCGCTTTGGGGTGGCTGACAAACACCCCTGGCAGCACCTGGACCCCTTCAGGGAGCCTTTGTGGGCTCAGTGTGACAGAGGGGCTGTTTGTTTACCCCAGCAGGTTAAAATCCTGCTCTCCCACCAGGATTTCATCCACCTGCTGCAGGAGGAGCCTCAAGGCATCTGCACAGGGAGGCTCCACATGCCCTTTTCTTTTTGAAAAATACACTCAAAACTCTGCTGCCCATGCAGAGTAAACACAGGGCTTTAACTGCAGCAACCTCAGCGTTCTGGCCTCCAGCCTCAGCTGGGACTTGCTCCCAAAAAACTATTCTATTTCTGGTGCAGGAATCACTGCAGGGGGAAGCAGCCCTTGGAAGGGCTGTCCTGGAATCCAGGGCCAGCCAGGGCTTGGAACACTCGTTGCTGTGTCCATGGGCCTGCACAGAGCTCAGCACAGGGAAAGAGCATCAATATTTAACGAGCCCGGGTGTGAAGTGCCCACGAGGGGAGAGAGAGGCCGGCCTGCTGCTGCAGCTGCCACAGGCAGGAGCCAGGACCGTTTTTTTTTTCCAAAAATACGGGGTTTTGGCTATATTTGGCCCGTGCCAACTAAATCAGAGATGGGGAAAGGCAAAGCAGGAGGCACGGAGGCTCTTAGGGCTGGAAAACCGGGAGAGCTGCTCCAGCGGTGAGGAACGGGGAGAAGCACCCAGGGCGCCGGGGGAGGGGTTTTTAAACACTGAGGTGCCCCAAATTCCCCCGTGTCACATCCCCTGTGGTTGCTGAGCGCAGCACAAGCCGCCAGCCCCAATCCACCCTCACAGGGACTGGGGATGCAGCTGCAGTGTCCTCCCGCACCACCCTACAACCGGGCCCTCCCCCTGCGCTGGCACACGGACAGACCCGATGTTTAGTTCGAAGAGAAGGAGGTTAAAAGGGAAAATCATTAAATGCGTGGTTAATTGGGGGGGGAAAGAGCCGCCCCCCCCCCCCCCCCCCCCCCCCCCCCCCCCCCCCGCCCTGACCCCCCGCGCCCTGGGACCCTCACCCGCTCACCCCCTGCCCGGCTTCACGCGCCCCGCAGTGTCCCGCGCGCCTATTGGCTGATAGGAGGCGGGGCGCCTCTCCCAGCCAATCGGCACCGCCCTCAGTGGGCTGGGCCCGCCTCCTCCAGCGGGAGCGGGTGGACACGCGGACTCGGCGCGGCACGTGTGGCCGAAGGGAACGGGGCGCTGTTCTCCGCCGCGGCGGGGCTGTCCCGGTGTGAGGGAGCCCTCCCCCCCCGGGACGCCCCCAGAGGCTCCAGGGAATTGTAGAGCCGGAAGCCGGGCAGCGCGGAGCCCGCATGCCCGCGCAGACTACCGCTCCCGGCATGCCCCGCGGCGCGGCGCCCAATCGTGGCGCGGCTTGTTGCGGGGGCGCGGCCGGCGCCCAGGCCCCGTTTCAAGATGGCGGACGACAGTGAGACAGCAGTGAGGCGGCCGCCGGCGCGGCTCCCGCGACCGGCGGCGGGGGAGAACGACCACGAGCACTGCAGCGACTGCGAGAACGAGGCGGAGCGCGGCTCCAACCGCGGGTGAGCGGCGGCTGGGGCCGCGCGGCGCGGCGGCCGCCGGGGCACATTTGAAGGGAGGGCAGCGGCCGGGAAGTGAGCGGCGCCCCGCCCCCCGGGCGCGCTGATTGGCGGGCGGGCGGCGTCCCGCGCTGCGGTTGGTCGAGCCGGCTGTCGATCAGCCGGGGGGGCGGGGCGCTGCGGGAGCGTGTCCGGAGCCCGGCGGGGTCGGGCGGGGCCGCGGCGCGGGGGGGTGACCATTGATTTTAGTGCCTTTCCCTGCCAAAAACGAGCCCTTTCGCTGTGTCTCCTCGTCCTGGCCTCGGGATGTGTCTCCCCACATTCCCTCTGCCCTCCCAGCCCATGCCAGGCA